GGCCCGTCTATGGTAAGAATTTAGTCTCTTCTGAAGTTCTCCCACTTTTACCATCACTCCCTGGGCATAATCTTCGTCTGCTCTCCAGCTGTAGGATATGGGGCTCTTTTGTAATATAAAGTTATTAAGGCATAGTTTACATATTATATGACTCACCCATTTTAGTTTACGACATTCACACAATTCAATCATTTTTTAAAGTAAAGTTGCCAAATTGTACATTTACATCACCATAAATCCATTTTGGAATGTTGGCATCACCCTAATAAGATCCCACGTGTCCGCTGACTGTTAATGAGAACAAAGAGCCTTTTTAATACATCCTGGGCCTGTTGAGACTTAGTGTCCAGCACTTTGGAGACCAGATGTCCTTCCACCTGAATGTGGTTCCAGAGCCAGACCAGGGGGGATGGGGCAGTAAAGAGGTCTATGAACATGACAGGTATTACAGGACCTTCCTGACCAAAACAGCCAGCGATGTGAGAATAACGCCAGCCCTTGCTCTCATCGGAGCAGCACTCTTAGCAGTGATCCATAAACAGCTGCTGGGCTGGTGGTGCCTCAGCCGGGAGGAATACCAGAATCGCCAGGGAAATGTATATAATGCATCTTCTTGGGCCCTGCTGCCAGAGAGTCGCATTCACCGGGTCAAGGGTACAGATTTACGTTCTTAGCAGAATACCGTGCTGATTCTCTAGCCCACCAGATTTGGGAACTGCTATTCGGGGTCGTGTGTAAATTTGCTTTTTTGTGTGATATTCACTGATTTTTTTTTCCTAGAAAACACAATTTTGGGACAGAATGGATTAGATATAGATATAGGAATGTATTTATATATTTTTAAGTGTGTGTGTGTGTGTGTGTGTGTGTGTGTGTGTGTGTGTATTCCATGGTTCCTGGATAGAAAACAAAACCCAGCACCTAACTTATTTTGTACACTTGTGTGTATCTATTGTCTGAAGTGGAAAAGCATTGCCCTTGCCCCCTCAAGGAGCTGGGCCTGTCACACTAAGATCGTAGATACAGGGCAGGCAAGGAGGACTTGTGAACCTGAGATGAACCAGAGGTGAAGAGTTGAAGCTCATAGCCTATTGGAGGCCTAAAATAGGAGTTGTTGGGATTTTTAGGAAACCTGTGATTTTCATAGAATTTCTACAAATGAGCTCAGCTCATATTTGATGGTTCGTTTCAGCTTCAGAATCTCACAATTTCTGACTGAGTGAGGTGATGACTTAGAATAGAAGGGGATATTTGATGATAACATTGGTCAAGTATTGACATCACAATCCTAGCTTTCTGGGAATGAGTGAGGGGTCACTAAAGATAAACCTTTCTCTTTCTACCCCATGTCAAATTTCTTAGGAAATCCTGACATTTCTACCTTTAAATTATATGCAAAATTGGGCCTTTTTTCCCCTCTTGTTTTTCTGCAGCCACTTTGGATCATGTTTCCATCACCTCTTTCCCGAATTATCACAGTCACCTCTAATGGGACTCTCCTTAGTCTCTACTAGAAATCTTCCAATTGCTGTGTGCCTCGCGCACAGTAAAAGCCCGTGTCTTTATCATGACTGCTAGGCCCCCATTGCCTCCGCCGAGCTCATGTCTTACTACTGTTTCCCATGCTGCTTTAGCCACCGTGGTGAGCTTTCTGCTCGCCGAACATACCAGGCAAGTTCCAGGTTCAAGGAGTATGTATACTTGCTGTTTCCTCTGTCTAGACTCCTCTCCCCAGGTTTCTGCAAGGCTCACTCTCTCTCAGTACTTTCAGATCTTTACTCAGCCATCACCATCTCAGTGAAGTCTTCCTTGGCCATCCTATTTAAAATTTTAATTCTGCCCAGACACATTATAATCCCTCTCCGTGCTTTATTTATATCCTCTTTATTTATATCCTCAGCACCTAACATCATCTATTTATTATATGTTTTATTTCTCTGTCTTATTTACTGTCTGCCTAATCGACTAGAGTAATGAACGCTCTATCAGGACAGAACAGTGCCTCATTTTAGGTACTCAGTAATTACTGGAATTAATGAAAAAAGATCTATTATGTAATTGTTGGTTACGTCTCCATTTTAGCCTAGGAATTTCTTGGTTTATATTGTCTAGGGGACGAAATTGACATCTTCCTGAACACAAAAATGTAGAATGGATCACTGAGAATTAGAGAAGATTGAATGTTGTAATCAAGCCTCTGACTTCTGCAATCAGGGTGTCAAAGCTTTAATGGGTCTTAAATATAATTTAGCCCAGTCTTTTATTTTACAAATAAGAAAATTGAGGCTCAGAGTAAAGAAATGACTTGCCTAAGGTTACAGAAAGTGAGAGGCATGTGCTGATGCGATCTCAGGCTCCTCACTGCAGTACAGTGCTCTGTCAATTGGCTTTCTTGGTCATTTGTTTCTAAGCAAACATCTTTATAGGTAACCTTCGAACTGAGATGTCCTTAAAATAATCAACAATTGTTATTGAGAAGAAACATATTTTGGATTTTAGCAAAACCTTATTTAGCCTTTCATACATAATTGTTTCACACCCAATAAGTGACTGTTAAAATATTCCTGTACATTACTATACATATTTTTTACTTTATTTTAACATAGAAAGCGATGTTCAGTTTTGGCAAGGTGCTCATGTTCTGAGAACCCTCAAGGGCAAAGGGTTACCATTATATTCATTTGTTTGTTTAACAAGTATTCATTGAATGCCTACTGTGTGCAAGGTATTGTTCTGGGCACTAATGCTTCAGTGATAAATAACACAGTGGAGGCCCTTATAGAGGAGACAGATGGTAAACAAGGAAGACAAATAGTTTCAGATGATATTATGTGCTTCCAAGAAAATGAAATAGAGACATGCAGTAGAGATTGGGTTGGGGAAAAAAAATTGTAAGACGGTAACATCTGAACAGAGACCTGAAAGAAAAGAACCAGTCAGCCATGTGATGACATGGGGACAGAGTGATGTAGACAGATACCAGCAAGGGCGGAGGTCCTCGTGCAAGAATAGGCTTATGTTCCAGGAAGAAAAGAGAGGATGAGTTGATGGCGGCATTGCGAACACAGAGGAGGCTGGAAGAAGATGAGGTCTGAAAGGATGCAGGAGTTTGATCATCAAACCTTAGAGTCCCCATAGTGGGGAAGTGGTTTAAAGGGGAGGAGCCTGCTCTGGTTTACATTTTATAAATCCCACCATGGTTAACGAGTAGAGGACAGGCCTCAGAGGAACAAAAGTAGAAGCAAGAAAACCAGTTAGATTACAGGGGGGAAACATCAGTCAAGAGAACTGGTGGCAGGCCGCCCTAGTGGCGCGTTGGCTAAGAGCTGGCTTGGGATGCCAGAGGTCCCTGGTTCGGATCCCACATATGAGGGCCAATGACACTGCCCTCTACAGCTAAGATGCTGAACAACAGCTCAACCTGGAGCTGGGCTGCTCTGAGTCACCAGCGACGGCGATGGCATAGGCTGCAGCCCCTGCTGC